TGGCACTTCAAATCCAAAAAAATAGGACATATTATTAAAAATTTCTTATTGGTGATTTGGTGTATTACCAAAAAAGAGAACTAGTAGCCTAAACACCCTTACTATATTCAACTATGATACCAAGTTGTATGATGTTGTAATTATTTCCACACATTATCAAATCCCTTAATGTTTAAGTTGAAGTTTGTTGAACATCAACGACTTCTCTATAAGTACCGACATTTAGACCTTTTTTTTTAAAACATTTATTTAGAAAGAAATGCAACTCATATAAGTATTAAGTGAACAAAATATTTCATGTAATAACTCCAAAATTATATTGATCTTTGATGAGACAATTGGAAAGTTGTTTAAATAAAGGGGAAGCTCATAGTAGCGGTAGAATAATAGACCTATCACTTGAAGGTCATGGATTTGAGTTGTAATCTTGTAGAGAAACACCTTATGGTAAAGGCAAAAGAAAGCTTTGCTAACTAGGCTACCCTTCAAAAGTTGTTTAATCCCCATAATAATACTTTAGATTTCATTCCTAATTTATGCCTCAATCATGGTGTTTTGGATTTACTCATCGATTGATAATTTGACTTCATTTTGCCCTTGATTTTTATGACACTTTCAGATTTTATGAAGATGCGGTTAAAAGGTAAATTATTATCTTGTCAACAATGAACTCCTACCAATGCTCAATTTTGCTTTAGCAACCAAATTCAAGCACAACACTCGACACTCAAATTACTTTTTAGCCCTAAGATTTTACGGAGATTAGATAGAATTGTTAATAGATGACTAAATCTAGATCTGTAATCAAAGTCAGGGACAAAATGTGATCAAATTATAGTCGATAACTAAACCGGGAATTAACTATAATACTTCATCTACAATCATTTCTAAGATGAAACGTTCGATTAGAAAATCTTCTTGTGCTCCATATGAGATTTTGGTAACAACTATAGTCAAATAAAATAATACATAAGAGTAAGATATTCCTCTCTCTCTCTCTCATATTTAATATTATCTTTAAATATCTTTCATAATTAATTCAATATCTAGTACATGATTTGTGTTATAAAGTACAATGTTTATGTACTTGAGGAAGAAAATGGAGGGAAAAAGAAAGAACAAGGTTAATTGTTTGGACTTACCTTTTATTATAAATTACAACAATGTGTAGCATCAAGTCTTATTAAAATGGCCTAAGAAGTAAGAACAATAAGTATTTAATTATTTAAAAACAATTTCAACTTATTTATGTGGGTAGAGTTTTAGGAAATTTTTTTGAAGAATCTCCCTAGGTTTAGTTTCTACCAAGTTTACATATACAAACAAATCTCCCTAGGTTTATCAATATCATCCCCTTATAAAGACTATTGAGGCTCTTGTTGACTCACCATCTTCTTCCCTTGCCCCGGATCCACAATCTTCACCACCATCAATTACCTATTAAGACACCCGATTACTTTCACAAGGGTATATATTCCACCCGCAATCTTCATTGTATATACTCTTTTCTAAGTTGCTATCATGTCTCCTCATCTTATTATGTCTTCATATCACATTTATCCTCAATGTCTATTCCTAAAACCACTCGAGAGGCTCTTTCAAATTCAAGGTGCAGCGGTGGTGATAGGCTATGATAATTGAGATGGAGGCCTTTCACTTGAATTAGTCCCCCTAGGTTTATAAATGCCGTCCCCTTATAAAGACTATTGAGGCTCTTGTAAACTCACCATCTTCTTCCCTTTCCTCGAATCCATAATCTTCATCGCCATCAAAGACTACTCCTATTGAGGCACCAATTGCTCTTCACAAAGGTATATTCCACTCGTAATCCTCATCTTATATACTCTTTTCTAAGCTACTATTCTGTCTCCTCACTTTATTTGTCTTTATATCACATTTATCCTTTGTGTCGTTTCTTAAAATCACCCAAGAGGCTCTTTCAAATCCAAAGTGGTGATAGGCTATGATGATTGAAATTGAGGCTTTTCACTTTAGTGGCATAAGTGGACCAAGTGTATAGAGGTTTACTACCATTTCATCAAGGAGAAAATCATATATGGATGTATTATGACAAGTTTTGTCAATTCTACTGATTGATCATCAAATATTCTTACTAAGTATCTTAGATGTCCTAGAATATGCTATATTTGTAACAATCTTAGTGCATATAATCTATATGCTCTTGTTTGAGGGGGAGTGTTGAATAAACCAAATAAACCCTAGGGTTGTAGAGATGGGCCTAGCCCAACTTGTGTCTTTTGTGTATAAATATAGGACTCGCTATACATATGTTTAAAAAGAAATACATAAAGATCTCTTCTCTTACAATATCATTCATAAGAAGTAAAAGATCTGGAGTATTTCTCATCACTTTTTGCATAGCTTTCTGGTTATTGTCTAGCTAATATGACTTTTCCAGAGGGGAAGAAGAAATAGAAACATTACTAAGGAGGAAATATTCCTTTGTATATTTAATCTTATAATGGTTGTAGAAGCTTTAACAATCTGAGTATGGGGAAGGGGATGATTCACTTTGCCCTCCCTACCTATATTATGTGGAATTACAAGTGGCAAAAAGGCATCACACATTCACAATACAGATAACGTTTGAAAAGCATACATTATTAACAATGGCCAAGTTATAGTTTACCCCAATTGAACAAACAAAAAGAAATTAAGAAAAATGGAAATCCAATGATTCTTACCAAACTTAAGAAATCGTTGTGTAACAATATAATCTGCTAATCAAAGATTTATAATAATACCTTTAAGAATACTCATAACATGATGGACCAAGGTTGATGGCTCTGTAGATTCAAAAAATTGTGCAGCATCACCAGCAACAAGAGCAACAAGTACTGGACCTCCAGAAACAGTATGGTAGCTGTAAAATAAAAAGAATTCTCCACGCCTATGGCTATACTGGTTGAGACGGCCAAATGTATCCAGATCTTCTCCCCAAAAAACAAAAGGGAATACCATTGCAACCTTGTTCAACAATCCAAATCCCAGTCTTTCTATTGCTGCAAGCTTCTTATCAGGTAGCTCTGGTTCAAATCTTATTGATTTTCTCTTTAAAACCCCAAGAGGAACAGTACAAAGTATCATGTCTGCTTGAAAAACTTGACCACCAGCAGCTATGACTTCAACTCCATTTCCGTACCTTATTGTCTGAACAGTTTTACCATAAAAAATTGGAACTCCTTTGCATAATGCTTTGATTAGTCTCCAATTTCCACCAGCAAGCAAGCAATGGTCTCCACCCATTTCATAAGGATCATCTTGATCCCAGTGAGAAGCTGAAAGGTTTGAAAGGCATCCAGCATTTGCATATTCCAAGTTTGCAAAATGCCAGTCAAGAAGTTGTCTCTCCTCTGCAGTTCTAGCCACAGCATATAGTTGTCTAAGTGTTTCCAGGACTGAACCTAGAGAAATATCATTAGCAAATCCTCCCATTATTTTTCTCAACTCTGTGACTTTGTCAAGCAGCTTGTTAAAAATAAGTTCAACTTTAGAATCAACAGTCTCGTCGACAGGTGCTCCATCAGGCTGGTACAAAGGGCACCTATCTCTAACTTTGTGAAGAGGAATGGAAAGTTGTCTTGCCAAAACCCCCAGAGGATTGGCATCTATACCAGTTATTACACTGCCACCAAGATCAACTGCAGCATAGTTACCATTTTGCCCCATTTTCTGTGTATAAACTCTGCCCCCAGGTCGGCTCCGACCTTCAAGGACCACCACCTTGAAACCAAATGACATCAGCTGCCTTGCTGCTGCTAATCCAGCAAGTCCAGCACCAACAATAATGACAGACCCTTCCGTGGCCTCCTCAGGAATCTGAGACACTATAGAAGGAGAAACCCCAAAGTTTATATATCCATGGTACAAAAGGAAGTCATATGCAGCAGACATTATATGCTCATACTCATTGCTCACAGTTTCCCTTATCTGCCCTTTGGAAATCCATGTCCGAACATTATGCCTCCACCTAGTAAGTATGTGGTTCCTCACAACAATATAATCATTTTGCTCTTTGCCATCCAATTCTGTTACAACCCCAGCTTTAATTTCCTCCTCAAGCAAAGCATCAATGGGGAAGCCCAAAGAAAGTGCTATCATGGCCTCTTTTTCAGTCTCTCTCTCCAATTGCTCCCTTGTTCTAATCCTCTTCTTCTTGGAACTACCCAAATGCCCCTCTATCAGTTCATCCATCAAATTCTCACTGTAATTCTTTGTATTCACGTTCCTTCTCATTGACCTCCTTGAAACCTTTCCATCTGAAACTGAAACCGGGGTCTCCATTCTTCACACTTGTTAATTCAAATTCAGGACCCGAAAAAGCTACTTCCAAATTCTATTCAGACTTAACAAAATTCAAAATCTATATCTTCTTCAAAAACGTTATAACCAAATGAAACCCAAAAGAACCAAATAAATCTTCGCTTCTCTTAACCGTTTCCAATGTACACCACTACTAAGCACCCAAGTCTTCGGCAGAAAAGTCCAAACCCAAGTTTAATTTCACGGAATTTATCAACCTGGGCTCAAAAAGGGTTTATTTCAGTAACGATAAAACATGAAACGTACAAATTGAAGTGATTTTCCAGTAAGTTTTCGATAATTCAACTCTATACAGAGATCAAAACGGGGCAAAATTTTAACTCGAACAAGGTTTCGAAAGAACTTGAGAAGTGGGTTACGTACCGTTGGGTTTAAACTCGGTGCCGGACTTGGATTTTGGAGAAACTGTTGTGGCTTTTAGGGCTTTATTTTTCTGGATTGATGATCACTCCAAAGCGGCTTGTCGGTACGGCACGGTGAGTTAACTCGGCGAATTAGAAACCATTTTATTGGAGGGAATTATCATTTCATTACGAAAGTGGTTTTAGTGGGAACTGAACCGATTCAATGTATCGATTCAAATTTGGAACTTATCCTCGCTCTCGGGGCGGCTCTTTTCGGGTCGGGTCGATAAATTTAATCCGCCCAATTTAACTAGGGTTTTACCTGCCTCCCCATACATAAACCCTTACCCTCTTCTAGACGTCTCTCCACAACCTTACACAGCACACTCTGGCGATCGACAGAGAGAAAGACATCATGGTTGGTAGTTTACACAGTACGTACTCCGATTTAGCAGAAATTGAGTAAAATTTATATATTTGGTTGATGAAATTAGGGTTTTGAATTATGGTGTTTTGCAGCTCCATGAGTATCAGGTTTGTGGGCAGAGATCTGCCGTCTGAGAACGATGAACACCCTAAGGTGAGTAAGGTCTGCCGTCTGCAAATGAAGCGAAGCTCTAGGTTATCAATAACGTCTGCCGCCAAGTTTTGGTAATTCAAATTCTATCTCTGCATATGTGTTTTATGTATAAGTTTGTATCTTACCATATAATCATTGTAAAATAGTTAGCCTATCAACTAATTTTGACTTGTTTGTCAATTATTAGTTGTTTGACTTAGTTAAATAATCAGTGTTTGATTAATTAGCTTTTTATAACAGTTTATTGATTCAAAATGCTAAAATTCAAAAAGTTGTTCAAACCAACTTTTTCAATTAGTTTTTTGAGAAATTCATTTTGCATATAATCACCTATCAGCTGACAACTAATTTACTAAACATCTTTCTACAATCGGTTAATACTACCAACTAATGAAATTCATTAACCCAATCAGCTAAGAGCTCAGCCAATAGCTATTTACCAAACACCCCAATTGTCTGTACTATACTGTCATTGAAACTTTTGATCTAAAATTCTAGATGCATGTTGAACCTCTTATTTAAGGGCACATTCGATCCTTTAGGGTTTGTAACTCCACCATTCAGACTACTTTAAAACCTTGATAGATATTACAATATAATTGTCCTCGACAAACACCCATCATAAGCCAGTTTGCACTCTTCACCTTGATGATATCATTTTCACTAATATCAAGTTCTCAACCCTTTGTAGTATCGAGTCGAACAAGACAAATTGTTTCCTCTTGTGCATCATCTTCCCATACACTTTATATGACCTTTACCCACTCATAGCATAGAGTATAACAAATTCGGCCTTTTTTTTTTTTTTTTTTTTTGTCAAAGTTGTCCCTTTAAACCATAGTCACACTTGGTATTGATAAAACTCACCTCTTTCTCACTCAAATGTTTACACAATTTAAAAGATGGTAATATTTTACCTACACTATCTCAATGTCTCTAAAAAGACAAATTGTGTATACATTTTGAAATCTATAAGATTGAGAATATGAATATTACATTTGGAACTCAATTAAGAATCTTAATCTAAACTTATAAGTGTAAATACAAGAAGCTTTTGAAGGATACAAAAAACATAACTTCAAGTATTGAAAAAGAAAATCTTTGTTAGATGAGTAAAGATGAAGATCATTGTTTCTTTTTAAAAAGTGTTAAAAATGAAGCTTGAAAGGTTTGAGAATGGCATTATTATATATATATATACAGGTTCTGGACTTCTGGTGAAAATCATGCTTATATAGAGTTCAATGGTCCAATAACGGCTAGTACAGTTTTTCAAAGCAAAGGAAATAAAATTGGATGACAAATTCAGTAGTCACGTTGATCATATCAATACTTTCCATCCAAATCAACAGTTTCGTTGGAAAATCCAATCTTCTACCTAGAGTCACAGGTTTGCATGATGAGATATAAAACCTCATTGCTATTGCATAACTTGCTTAGACTATCCCGTTGAATGGCATAAGACAGTTTAGCATTTTGTTTACTAGGAACCATGCATTCTCCTTCGAGCTCTCATTAGTTGTAGATTGTGATAATGAGTGTGGTTTGTTTTGAATTTTAATCTCTTATGGTTGTTTTTAATCTCTTAGTTGTAGATTGTGATAATGAGTGTGGAGAAATCTAATAATGATCACCTTGGCATATTATTGTTCATTAAGTCTTGGCTTCCTAGTGACATTCATGGTACGATTGATCACATTGTCAAAGTCCAAGACTACATTAAAGTCATTAATGATTAATTCGCCAGTTCAAACAAAGCTTTGACAAACACTTTGATTATGCAATTTTCACCGGCAAAGGTGTGCGCCAACATATCATGCAGTTAAGGGACATTTCGACTTGACTTCTTAAGTTGGGGATAACACTTCCAAATTCATTTGTCGTGCACTTTGCGCTAAACACTCTCTCTCAATAATATAACTCTTTTAAGGTTTCCTATAACACACACAAGGGAGTGTGTTATGCTAGCAACAACAAGGCTTGTTGAGAGAGTGTTTAGTGCAAAAGTAATAACGACTTATTATTATATGGAGCAAGGGACTGAAGGGAGTGTGCGTGCTATGCTACCTACAACAAGGCTTAATTGCAAATTTGGAAAGGGATCCCGTGCAACTAAGGGGAAAGGGAAACTAACCCCACAAGCTGTCAAGCTGACATCAAGAAGGCTAAAAAATGCTTCTTCGGTAAAAAGAAAGGGCACATGAAGAAAGACTATGCTAAGTTTAAAAGGTGGCCGGATGTCTGATCTCCTCCTTTGTTCGTTTTGAATTTAATATGTTAGATGTTAATACTAACACTTGGTGGATTGATTCTTGTTCAAATATCTACATTGCAAATTCTTTGCGTGATATGCAAGAAACGAGACAACCAATAACAAGTGAGCGGATCATCTTATTTCGGAACAATTGAAGCTGTAGAGACTTGCACTTTAGTTTTAGAAAGTCATTTTGTGTTGAAGTTGGAAAAGACAGTTTATGTACCTAGTTTTTCGTAAAATTTGGTTTCAGATTCAAGACTTATACTGTTCGGATTCTAATTTAAATTTTCAGACAAGTATTTTCAATTGTTTTATAATTCTACTTGTGTTAAATGGTACACTGTCTAACGGTTTGTGTCATCTTAATTTACAAAATAATGCAATATACAATTCCTTACATGTTCAAGCTGACACTAAATGATATAAGTGTTAATTCTTCAATGTTGTGGCATAAGAGATTATGACATATTTCTCTTGAATAAATTAAGAGATTAGTTAAGGATGTGATACTTTGAACTTTAGACGTTACTGGTTTCTTGACTTGTATTGGCTGCATTAAAATAAGCAGACTAACAAGTCAAAAAAAGGTGTCAATAGGAGTTCAACATTGTTAGAGATCATTCATGCATACTGACAAATGTTATCCCGAAAGACTGACAACTATCTTTTTAAAAACAAACACTTCTTTGTGGAACAAATGTTAGAACCACCCAAGGCAACTTTGTGGAAGATCCTGCTACTGGTGGTCAAGCTAGTTTGAAGGATAGGATTATCCAAGGAAATAGCAAGTAGCTAGCACAACAGTTTCGCGTTCAAATTGTGTGAAGGACTGTAATTCAATACACTTGTATCCATAACATAACGAATCTTCATTAGGGATTTAATAAGAAGAATGGAATAGAGAATTTTCCAAATAACTATAAAAATCTCTTTCTCATTTCCTCTATCCTTAATCGATTCAAACCGCACATGCATGATCATACAAGCATTAAAGTAAGCTACAAAACAAAACTTAACAAGTTCAAGCCTCCCTTGCATGAACTTTAATAATATTCTTTAAGTTAAAAAGTATTAAAGGTATATTCAACCCCTTCCTTCTATGCTTATACTTTGCTAAGACCCAGAGAGACAAATTAACATTTTATTAGCCAAACCTAATTCCACATTACCCTCACTAAAAGTATTTACATCCTAGCTAAAAGTTAACATAAAATATTTTACATGTATTTTCATTATTTTTTTTAATAAACAGTATTGGTATAAATTAAATATAACTAATTTTTATTTAACTGTTGGAGAACTTGGATTCAGGAAAAAAGGTGTGTATTCATTACAATCAAAGAGAGCTCATAAGAGCTGGGAATTGTACAGAGTGAAAGTTTTTAGAAGGAAGAAGCATTATTCGGCTACTTAAGCCCTATAGTAGTTATAACTAACAAAACTAACTCAACTAACAAAACTAACTCTAGGAAAAGACAAAAGAGCCCTTGGCTTATAAAAGGAATAGAGCTGAGCTTGCTGTTATCTGCTATGATCTACTGATGGCTTCATGGCTTCATCATCTAGCTGCATTATCTTCATCACCCCCCCTTAAGCTGGAGAATGAAGGTCTTGAAGTCCCAGCTTAGTATGAAAAGAATCAAACAAGGGAATAGGCAATGCCTTGGTGAATCCATCTGCTATCTGTTTGTGGGATGGAATGCTCATCAGCCTGATTATTCCTTCTTGCACCTTTTGTCTGACCACATGACAGTCAATCTCTATGTGTTTGGTGCGTTCATGAAAAACATGGTTCTCACTTATGGCTATAGCAGACTTGTTATCACAAAACAAGGAAATGGGGCTGGCTGTGCAGCTGTTTGCTTGTAGATCTGCCAGAAGATATAAAAGCCACTGGATTTCACACACTGTAGAAGCTAAAGCTCTGTATTCAGCTTCAGATGATGATCTACTGATGGTAGCTTGTTTCTTGGTCTTCCAAGAGATGAGAGACTTCCCAAGATAGATGCAAAAACCTGTTATAGACTTTCTGGTTTCTGTGCATGTAGCCCAGTCTGAATCTGAAAAGGCTTGTAGCTTAAGTTCAGAGTTGGAAGCATAGAAAAGTCCTTTTCCAGGTGAGGCCTTGATGTATCTTAGTACCCTATGAGCTGCAACCAAATGTGTGCTTCTTGGTTTATCAACAAATTGACTTAATTGCTGCACAGAATATGAGATGTCAGGCCTAGTGTTGGTTAAATAGAGTAGTTTGCCAACCAATCTTCTGAACATTTCAGGATTGTCAAGAAGTATGCCTTCAGTGTTGTTAAGCCTAGTTCCTGGAGTGCAAGGTGTCTTGGCAGGCTTGGCATTTAAAAATCCATTTTCATCTAGGATTTCCAATGCATACTTCTTTTGACAAAGGTTCAATCCTGTACTTGTTCTGACTGCTTCCAGGCCTAGGAAATAGTTAAGCTGCCCAAGATCCTTGATTCTAAAAGCTGAATCTAGCATATGCTTCAGCTGTTTGATCTGATAAGAGTTTGTTCCTGCAACAAGTATGTCATCTACATACACAAGTAAGGCAAGGAAAGAGTTATTTGATGACGTAGTGAACAAAGAAGGATCTGATGATGATTGCTGGAAGCCATAAGCTAATAATGACTTTGTTAGCTTGGCATTCCATTGTCTGCTAGCTTGTTTCAACCCATATAGAGATCTAAGCAATTTGCAGACTTGGTTGGGCTTGTCACTCTTGAAACCTGGAGGTAAGACCATGTATACTTCTTCATCTAGGTCACCATGTAGAAAGGCATTATTTATGTCAAGTTGCTGAATATCCCAATTATTTGCAATTGCCACTGCCAAGAAGGTTTTGATAGTGGTCATCCTTGCAACAGGAGAGAATGTCTCTGTGTAGTCCACTCCCATTTGTTGAGTGTATCCCTTAGCCACCAACCTTGCTTTAAATCTTTCTATGGTACCATCAGACTTATGTTTGATTTTGTATACCCACCTACATCCAATGGGAAGTTTTCCTGTGGGTAAGTCCGTCAAAATCCATGTGTTGGTCTGAACTAATGCATCAATCTCAGTCTCCATGGCCCTTCTCCACTCATCATGTTTTACAGCCTCTTGGTATGAATGTGGTTCCATAGGTGTGGTTATAGAGGATACACAGAATTTCTGTATAGGATGAGGAGAAGATCCTATAGTAGACATAGAGTGGCAGTAGTAATCATTTAGCTTATGAGGAGCCACCCTTAATCTAGTTGATCTTCTAGGCTGTGTACTGTGATCATTTGTTGCACTAGACCTCTCAGTGCTCATATCAACATTGGCAGTACTGTCATTAGAACTGCTGCTGTGATGGCTTATATCTCTGGGACTGTTTCCATTACCAAGTTCTGAGATGGCTCTATAAGTGGGAGTCCTTTCATCAAGTTCTAGAACTCCTGAATCAGATGAAGCCTCTGGGAGTGGAATTTCAGTTGAAATGGGAATTAGAGGAAGTGAGGGACTATCAACATCACATTCATCTGAGCTTTGATCTTCTGTTTTTCTGAATGGATATGTGAGCTCATAAAACCTGACATCTCTGGAAATGAAAGTTACTTTGTCAATAAGATCATAGAGTATATAACCTTTCACATTTGCTGGATACCCCAGAAAAACACACTTCCTTGCTCTTGGTTGCATTTTGTTTCTCCCCTGGGAAATAGTGGCCCCAAAGCAAAGGCATCCAAAGCTTTTAAAATGTTCATAGCCAGTATCTTTTCCTGTTAACAGTTTAAGAGGAGTGTTTCCACCAAGAACATGAGTAGGTAACCTGTTGATGATATAAGAGGCATGTAACACACAGTGTCCCCAAAATTCTAATGGTAATCCAGATTGAAACCTCAAGGATCTAGCAACATTTAAAATGTGTTGATGCTTCCTTTCTACAACTCCATTTTGCTGGGGGGTATACACACATGTTTTCTGATGGACTATGCCTCTCTCAGCATAGAAATCATTCATCAAGAATTCTGTCCCATTATCTGTTCTTATCACCTTAATCTTAGCAGAGAACTGAGTGAACACATAATTGCAGAAATTTTGAAATATGCTTTTGACTTCAGATTTACTTTTCATCATATGTAACCAAGTAAATCTGCTACAATCTTCAACTATGGTTAAAAAATAGTGTTCACCTTTGAGAGAAGCCACAGAGAAGGGTCCCCACACATCCATGTGTATGAGATCAAAGCAGTTTTCAGTTTTAGAATTGCTGACTGGAAAAATAGACTTCTTATGTTTAGCAAAATTGCAAGCATCACATACAA